AGAAATTTTACATCGATAGTTCTAAGTGAATTGAGGAATACGGCTCGGAGCTCCACGGCGACGATGGCTAGGATACTCGCCAGGCCCATGATGTTCAGGACGAAACCTATGATCGATAAAGCGAACAGGATTTTTGTGGCTCGGGTGCCAAATCCTCGTTGTCTAATGATCATAATTTAGAATACGAAAGGGGATGAGATATGGATATGTACGTACAGAACATTTAGGATATGAATGCACACTGTGCACGAGAAGATTCCTGACGACACAGTGATCCATCAGCATGGGGATTGTGTTGTTGGATTGGGTACCCTCGTACCTTGGAGTAAGCCGCTAGTCACGATGCTGCCGAAATTATTAATGACAACAATTCCAAGGTCTTGAATTAGCATACGCTCTTCAGGCGTCATGATTGTGGGGTTATTGTGCATTGAAAAGATCCTTCCAAGCACCTTAAAAGCGCCCTCTTCATCTTAGTTCTCTCACAGTCGCGACGATGATCATGATCCACAAAATCTCCAAGGTACGCAGCGTACATACCACGACAGATAGGAAGCCACGATATAATCGGCCGTGTGAGTGGGAGTGCACATGTGTGTAGAGATTGCCATTTTGCGCCGGTGTCGCTAGTAGGATACTTGCGACGATCAATACATATGTTTGAGATGAAGACTAATTTTAAAGAGCCTGATTAAGCTGGTGTTTGAAATCAGTTGATGGGCTTGGAGGTAGGGCATCGACACGTACTTGGACCTGCCAAGGCCTGTGTGGCTCATCCATACTCTGGTGCCCCAACAATATTATCACAACCAGCCGGACCACTGGGTCAACTATTAGAAAATATGGAGTCTTCAGATGGTCATGCCCTTTCTTTATAACAATGATGGATCAAATGACGATAATCTGTGAAGGTAGCCAAAAAGACGTGTGAGGAGTCATTCTCTTTAGAATTTACAAATCACGTACCAATAATGTGACGGTGGGCGGCACTTCACTACCCCACGTAAAGTGAATCGCAGAGATAACACAACAAGGTACAAGGCACGGTGGCCCGCAGTTGTGAATCTGGTCGGCGCCCAGCGCGCCCAGCTCAAACACAGCAGGCCATCACACAGAGTACCCTTTCATCGCTGGAAGGGCGTTAAAAATGGATTGACAATTGAATACATGAGAAAGAGGCAGACGTGAAGCTTGAGAAATTGCGGTTGAAGAGTCCGATGGTAGTGGTGGTTGTCGATGTTTATTTACGCAATCATAATGGCTTGAATGGCGACCACCATACTCTCGCTGCCAATCCCACTGATCCTCCTCATCAACCTCCACATCCTCGAATACCCGCATGCTAACAGGCCAGAATATGACCACGCCATCTTTGACCCGCAGGTTCGTGGCCTCAAGGAACGTATCAAGATCCTAGAAGACATCGCATACTTTCTCGTCGCCAAGATCGAGGGAACAGCGAAAGGCGTACGTGTTTTTTACGCGTTTTTAAAAGCAGGATTTTGCCATTTATGCGTTCTTTGTAGATTCTGGGCACCTACCCGTGCCATACACCGTCTGACTCACTTACATTTCGGACGTCATTGTCAAAATATCTCGAAGCTCTACGACACGCTTGTATCTATCCTACGTCGTCAAAAAACCAATCTGGCGCTCGACCTGCGTCTACTGCTGCGCCTGGAGTGAAGACAAAGGCAAAACCGAACTCAGGCAAAGAGCTTCAGACCAATGATAGTCCTGCCTCGTTGGCATTGGGTTGGTGGTGGAAAGATGTAATTGTGCGAAAATCATTATTGGAAGAATGTCATGGCGACAGGTACGGTTATGTTCCCCTTAACCCCTTCTTTCCTCAATTAATATGTTAGTTTATGTGGATACCGAATTTTGAATCCCCAGATTCGAACGTCTTTTGCTCTCCCTCTCGACGCATGCATTGGCCTTGTCTGTATCGAAATCCAAGCGTTCTACGATTAACTCCTTTGAACAAATCGAGGTGTGCTCTTTTTCTAAACGCATACGCATACATGTGCTGACATTGATTTCATAGCCTGAGGCTGCCCTGCAGATCCACCCAACTACCTACTTCGCGCTTCTCGCTCAATCCAAAGTTGCCAGGTATGCATGGGCTCAAGCTGCTTCGGTGCTTATTCAGAGCGAGGCAGAGTTGTCTGCATTGAAGGTGAATACCTACCTTCGAGTTTCGTTATTTGCTAATTCACATTCTTCAGAATCGCCTCGCCTCCCAATCCAACATGACCACAGAGACAAAATATTCCGCTCTTCCTACTCCCGCACTCATCGCGTTCGTCAAATCGAGACGTCAAGATTTATTACGAACATGGGCCTCCCTGGGTTTTCAATCAGGTGGAGATAAACGGGTGCACAGACTTAAAAATAGGCAAGGAAACGAGGAATTGGCATTACAGTTTTTAGAAAAAGCCATCGGTGTTGAGCAACCCAAAGACGAAGCCCAAAATTTGGACGTAAGCTGATTCTTTGCCACGATTACAGGTGTATGTTTTACTAATAAGAAAAGTTTAGAACCTCGCCACGCATCCCACTACACGCACACCAGCCCAAGATCAAGACCAAAGCCGACTCCAACCCCAACTCGAAATCCTCCCACTACCAGTCGCAGCAGCCCACCATCCGACACATCTCAAGAAACTGCGAAAACCTATTTTCCTATCACCCCTACCTGGTCATAGTTATGTTCAAGCAGCTGCGGCTTCCATGTCCTCATCGATGAACGCATCGACGTTCATGCCAGCTCATAACGCTGCCGCTACGCATACCCGTATTCGCGCGGACATGTATTTATCAGAGCAGTACGGGCCAGCTCTTAAACAGATGCACGCTGCACTCGGGAACGCGCTGAGCCGGATTAGGGAGGAAAGGGCCAGGCTGGATGGGAGGAAACGTGGTAGTGGTGTTATGGATGACGCTACTGTTGGTAGCAAGGCGACACAGAAGGAGAAGAAGGACGATGTCGTGGTCAAGGCTCGTGTCGCCAACGTCACTGTCAGCCAGAAACCCAAGGTCACTGGCTCGGGGAAGGGGAGGCCTATTATCAACGGGAAGCCCAGCACCAGCGTCAGTGGAAAGACGACCCGGAATGCCAACGCCCCCGCAATGTCTTCTCTTACCGCTAGTAGGAGCACAAGCACGAATGCTAATGCGAAGAAGGGCAATACTACTAGTAGCAGTAGGGTTGCCAGCGGGAAACTCAGCAGCAGCACTACCACTGCCGTTGTCGTCGGGAAGCCTAAGGTTACTGGGACCTTGACCAACCAAAAACCAAAATCAGCGTCCAAACCCATCATAAACGCAACCATGACCGCGAAAAACGCGAATGGGCTGGCAGCAAAAGACTCTCTGGCTCGCTCGCGACTCAAGGGAGGTGCTCCTGGGAAAGTTGGGCGTGACCCGGTAGTGGCAAAGTCTGCTGCGCTACCACCAAGGACGACATCCGAATCAACACTGACGCGCAACGGCGCTACCATTGCGTCTACTAAAAGGCCTACACCTGCAGGGTCAGGTCAGGAAATTGGTGCCATTGAGGCCGAGAACCGTCCTGTGGCCATCGTCCCCACCCCCGTACGCATTGACGAAGATCCCGCTGAGCTTGAGCTTGAATTGAAGCTAGACCTGTGGGAGCCTTCAGCAGAGTTGGAGCTATCAGGCCAAATCATTGAGGTCGATTTCAATGTACGCATCCTTTTGTTCCAAGTTCCTTCAGCCTCGTACCCTAACCATCCAATTCCATGTAGACGGAACCGACTCCTGCGCTCATCGCCGCGTTTGGTCCCGCCGGTGCAGGGCTTCAAGAAGATGAAAAGACCCTTGAACAACGGATAGATGAGATTCGGGAGAGAATGTTGCCGGCGTACCCGCCTGTGCCGGACGTTAGTACGGTTGTGAGGCTGCCATATGCTGAGCTTGGGTCCGAGGAGCATGCGAGTTCTGGTGCTAGAGCGGGCAGGGCCTATGGAGGCGGCAAGAAGACTTCTGAGTCATCAAAGATACCCCGTGTGGGTGCTAGTATGGGACACGAAACCAAACGTGACGCCGTTGGAGAGAAACAAGATCAGATGAGAGCGATTGGGAAGCCGAAGGTCAGAGGAAAGGAAAAGCCAAAGCCGAGGAAGTCCATCCGCCTGTCGCTCGCTGCGCATGCTCAATGCAGGCCGTCGGCATTCGATCCAGCCTCTAACGATGATGATGACTACGCAGTCACTAATATGATCGACACTATTGATATGCACAACGCGTTCTCCCCCGCTCTTCCTTCTGTGTCCTCCAACACCAGTTTAAAGACTTCGACGCTCAACTCTGGCTCCTCAGACCCGAACACCCTTCGAACACAGCCAAGTGACGCTTTGAATGCTACCGCCAAAGGCAGAGGCAAAGTCAAAGTCAACCGCATATTCACCTCGACCTCCAAGGCTCCAAAGATAGGACGTGGTGCGCTTAAGGAGTCATCCTCGTTTCCGGATCCGTGGATGGAGCCTGCAGCGCGGCTCCCTTCACTTGGATTTGAGACGGATGCCAGTGATGAGGATGCGAATAGCACGAGGGGTGAGGAGGGGTATAGATACAGAGCTGAGCTTGGGGAGAAGAGTATGACGCTGAAAGAGATTTTATTGAGTGCGGATGTGAGTGTGACGGGGTATGCGCTTTTGAGTCGAGGTGTGTTCTCTTCCTATTAGAGATGGCGCCTTTGATCTTGAAACTGATTTTTGAGCTTCTTTATCTTCTGTAGGGGAAGACTCTGAGAATAACGGGGATGTAGGAGAAAGGGGTGTTGGGGAAGAATCCTTTGAGTGGGAGTAGGCGCTCGCGTGTCGGTTTTATTTCAGCCCGTTGCATTATCAATAGGACTCTAAAACTTCCATAAATTCTGTTCTATATTATTGCGGATCTGGAGTGTACCACAGTCTTAGAGAAAGATCATACATATCAATCTTGCTTTGGATTAAATTATTTATTGTCCCCATCAAGCCCGCCTAGCTCAATCGGATAGAGCGTCAGACTCTTACATAGGCAGGGCATCTGAAGGCTGCGAGTTCGACCCTCGCGGTGGGCTATTAAGCTGCTATTTCTTACGAGATCTTTTTTCTTCCTACTCCATACACCGTTGTCATGATCATGGATGAGCTCATGAGATTTCTGTGTATAGGGCTTACCGAACGCCTCTGTATTTCGCTATGTTATTTGTACCTAGGTTCCTTACTCGGGTTCTACTTCATTTTGTCGCAACTTCACAACATCTGTCCCTTTACGAATGATCCCAGTTTCAACTCGAAACTGCCGGCAGGGCAATTGATGCTTGACAAACGGACCGCAGCCAGGATATAAAGCCATTGATTTGTATGGTTTACGGATACCCAACGCAGGTCGTTCCACGTACTTCTCCTAGGCCCGGCTGCCTAAATCCACTTTCTTTTCAGAAACCTTCACTCATGTTGCTCAACGCATACAGACTAGTTCTTTCTGTTTTGGCGATTTCACTTGTCGCCACAGCGTGTCCCGTTCCCGAAGCAGATAGCCTGGTATCAAACGTCGGTTTTGAGTCCTCTTAGATGGGCTAACACATGACATTCCAGAGCACCCGATCTCCAATCCCAGAGCCTTTCGCAACTGTGCCAAATAATCCGTATGTTTCATATCCCCTGTTTTAAGATCTTATCAGGATGTTAACTTCCTTCCCCGACGAAGGCGCAAATCATGCAAGAAAGTTCAAGACTGCTCGTGCCCGTACAATCCAAAATCCACCACAGGGCACTCCACGTCGTGCATCAACGGGTTCTGCTCCTGCGACAATGCCGTTGTGAATGTCTTCGCAGATACCTTCATGAAATCCATTATAGCCATTGGTAACGCACCGATTACGAAGGCTATCGGTAATCTTATGAAGGGACTGGCGGACGTCAAAGAGGTGGTGGGCGTCATAGCAGGAGCATTGTTGGGTCCTGAGGCGAAAGCGGCACTCAAAGTATGTTCCTCAGTTCCAAGGGCGGGAACACCGCGAAAATCTTACTCCGATCGTTCACGCAGGTTGCATTGAATGCGTTCCCTGATGTTGGTCCTAGTCATATAGATAAGGCGACAAAGGGAATTTTAACCAAGGGTTTGTAAGGAACTATGTGACCGGGTTGTGATGTATTCTAGTTGACATCGTTGAAGCGAGACTTGAACACTATTATAATGTCTGCCAAGCGGCGATAAGTACATCAGTGAGAGGGTCGGAGTGAAATCACATAATTCAAACTCACAACGTGGGTCCCTACACTTCTTCAATTATATTATCCTCGTCATCCTCGTCAACTGGAGCTGCTGCGATTTGCCTGGTTACTGTCCCTGCACCCTCTGGAGCACCGAGGTAGTCATCCTTTATCATACCCTCGCTCTCTTCGAGTTCCTTCGAGTCCGCAGGCTCTTCACCTTTTATGAGCGTCACCAGCCTCTCGATATGTTCGGAAATCTACGACAATAATTTGAGGCCATCAACCCAAGTAGATCATGATGACAGACCACACTCACGTTATCCACTGTCTCATTCTCATGCATTGCTCGTACGATCTCATACACACCGTGCCCACGGAGGTAGTCTCGCCCCCAGCGCGTATGACACAGCAGAAGCAGTGTCTCAACGTGAATCAGCCGGAGGGTAGGATCCTGCTCACGCGTTTTTGTAGGTGGGAGGAACTGGAGTGCTTCTGGGAGCTTTTCTTGATCCTGAAGGAGTCGTTACCCGTGAATGACTATACCGTGAGATCCGATATCAAGAAAGACAAACCTCTAGCTCAAACTCTTCGGGGCCAGCGAGAGGAAGGAGGATATAGGGCAGGGCGTCAACACCCGGCGCTGTTGCTATAGAGGGAGAGACAGCGATTTTCTCTGACTCCGGTGAGAGAATTGCTTTGTGACCAGGTGCGTGGAAAGCGCAGTTCCTATAGAGAGACACGGTTAGTTCGAGATAGCTTTTACGATGAGATGAAACTAACTGACTTCAATGTTGAGGCAACACCGCCTCTGCGAATGGTGTCCTTGTGTTCTGTGAACGAGACTATTTTTGCAAGAGGATATTCTAACTCGTCTGGCTTTGAAGGATCGGATGGTTGTGCAGATAGGAAAAAGTTCCGGCCTGCAGGCGACTATAACGCAGATGAGAATCTTGCCATTCAAGTACGCCTCGTAGCACATACCACGCTAATATTCGCAAAGACGCTTGCAAGGAAGTGCAAGTCTCCTTTACGCGTTCGTTTAGATGGATCGGACTCGGCTTGGACTGAAGCAAAGGCCTCAAGTAGCAGTGGTAAAGCTAGGACGTCACGAGCTTCGCCAGGGGGATATGGATCAGGAGGAGCGCTAGTCCCACAACGTGATTGAGTCGCGTAGGGTTCAGTACCCGGTATTATTGAGACTTTGAGAGATAATAATGCGGAGCATGCTGAAGAAGAGGAAGTAAGGTTTGAGAGCAGCATCGATGCAAGATCTGCGAGGATAGATTTTGAGTGCTGAACTCTTTTCATTAGCCTCTGGTATAGGGCACTAAGTCGGACAACACACGATGATATAGGCCACGATGAATGTTAGGAATGTCGTATCCGATAGCGATGCGACGAGAAGAGGCGAATCTGAGAGATTAACGAGGGCACGAAATGCATCGTGAGCAATGTCCTAATAAACAGACGTTAAACATGCAAAAGGATCACGAAGATCGCGGACGAACGAGCTGATCCCTGCAAAGAATTTTCAAATCCCTTATTATGTCTGTCTCTTTTGTCTTTGCTCCTAGACCGCCTGTCTGACCAGCAAAGAAAATGTTTCTGTGAGGCGATCCTGGCGGTGTCTGTGGTAGTAAATGGGAAAGGGCGATCTGCCGAACCTGGGGGTTCCTGTCGCGTAAGAATGGAATGAGCTATTGGTAAATGCATGAGCTCAGTATCTTAACAGTTGCTCAGATTTCTTACCTCGCGAAGCTGGGCGTCCATCTTGAGGTCGATAAATATTGTTGCACGTGATGCTAATTGCTTGAACGCCGATGGAGGCTTACCTCAGCCGTCTATCCACCGCCACCACCCATTGTCCTTCGCCGTCGTCCTCCTTGACTTCATGCAGTCATGGCAAGCTACAACACGACGCGTTTTGTTGAGAACTTGCTAGAGAAGACAGTCGATTCCCCACCTTCATTTACCGTGAACTTGTATCCCGAACACTGGACCCTGAACAATGGTTCAAAGTTCCTTTATAACAACCAGATTGCTGTATGTTTTATCTTTCTGTGTCGTGACCAACTGAAGACCTCTATTTAGTCTCTTCTTGACGATGTGAGAGCTCACCGGATACCTGTGGATTTTTTGGATCTATTCGAAGCTGCCAAGGTTCCGTTCTATGACGGTATGGGCGCTTATACCGGCATTTGTGCTCCAGTATTTTGAACGTTTATCTTTAATAGGATGCATGATAGTCGAGCTTCTGGACTATCGACCCCAACGAAGTAAGGAACCCACTCCTGACAAACCAGAACGCACGCGTGTGGTCCTTCATCCGAATTCCGAAACCTTGTGGGCAGACATTTGCGCCATGAATATGCGTTTCGGCGGAAAATGGACAGATCGTGATGCGCTGGAGATGGAGGCGCGGCTCGTTGTGAGTATTATCTTATTTCTTCATGAGTTATCTCAACTTATGTGTCCCACAATCAGCTTGCTACGTCTCCGCCTCTTTGTCTCGATCCCGATCCACATCTCACTCGAGTTGCGAACCATATTATGAGAGTATCTACACCCACAGTTCCATTATCGTTGAAGAGAAAGGCTGCTCCATCTGATCCTGAAGAGGACGAAACGGACAAAGCTAGGAGAGCGAAGATCATGTCCTTCATGAACTCAAGACAGACTCGAGCAACACCAAGGTGCACATTCTATGGAATGCACACTATGCTCCAGCTTACATCCCACAGCTATCGAATTCTGGACGCTGTACAGAAGTGGCGAGAAAAGAAAGCTAACCCCGACCGAATACCAACCCCAGCCTCAGCTCAAAGAGCTCCGTCGCCGACAAAGGCTCCTACGCCTTCTATCACCGTATCACAGGCTCAGTCGCCCGCTACCTCAGAAAGAGCGACAGCAGCAACCCCAGCTCCACCTCCTGCAGTTATGTATGGGAGAGCGAACGGTTCTGTTACCCCCGCGCCTCCGACCACCCACCAATTCATCAACCAGTCACCACCCAACCCCTCCACCCCCAATACTCACTCGCCCATGCTTCCTCAAACGTATCCCAGTCTTCAGGCTGCTACAGAGGCGCTCAAAAGGGCACCAACACCCGCTCAAAACAAACAACCGTACGGAGCAACCCCCCATCCTCCTGCAGGAACGCCTGCACCTGCACCTGTGCCTACACCAATCCCAATTCAACAAACTCCACAGCTCCAGCAGGCTACGGCCAATACCTTCCAACCAACTATTCAAGCTACGCAATATGTGGGTCAACCTCCTCGAGGGGCTTTGCCAAAAGCAGCGCCTCAAAACACTGGCATCAAGATCAACCCTCAGCAAGTATACCAAGCTCCTCCCACTTTCGCCAACCAACAACAAATGATAGCATACGCACGACATCAGCAGCATAATCAACAACTGCAACAACAACAGGCGTTGCTTATTCAAGCAGCGAACCAAAAGGCTGCACAAGTAAATGGGCGCGCAACCCCAGCGCTTGGCGTCGTTCCAGGTGCACCTTCTCCTGCGGCCATCGTTCGCAGCAGTCCGATGGTAGCGAGCAAGCAACTTGGCACGCGGTCGCCAATGCCTCCGACGACGCAGCTCCCTCAAGTACAGCAGCAGCAGATGACGCAACAGCAATTGCTGGCGATGCAACAACAACAGCAGCAGCAACAACAGCAGCAGCAGCAGCAACCGCAACAACTCCAACAGCAGCAACACGTCGCCCAACACCCCCAGCATACATTTACTCCGGTATACAACCCGGCTCACCTCCGTCCTGGAATGGTTCACGGGGCTACACAGATCCCGCAACACGTCGCTGCTGCCGCTCAAGCCCAGGCTCAAGCACATGCGG